TCCTTCGCAGTTTACACAGTGTGGCGGTTGTTTGCAGTTCTCAGACACGTGGCCTAGGACTCCACATTGTGCACAAGTCTGGCGACCACGACAGGTTTTAGAGCCATGGCCATACCTCTGGCATTGGAAGCAACGACGAGGGTTTGGTATATACGGTCTGATAGATGTCTTTGTGTACGCTGTTTGTATGGAATCTGGTAGTTTACTGGATGCAAACGTGAGTATCAAGTGTTTCGTTGGTATTTCCTTATTATCTCTTCTGATTATAATTCTCTGTACATTATTGACATTTTGGCTCTTCCACCCTTCCAAAAGTTCAGTTTCGGTGAGTTCAAGTAAGTATGCATCAGATACTACTCCGCGAGTGATGTTCATGGATCTGTGTGGTGTTACGGTGATCGGCACGTCACCAAACGTTGAGAGGCTGTCTAGCTTTACAAATTGTGCTTTGTCCCGAATTTCGAGAAGAAGGTCTCCGCTAGCCATTTTGGTTACTTTGTATCCAGCCCCGAGAGTTTCATTAAGACACCTGGCAACTACGAAAGGAGATACAGTCCTGGCTTGCTTTCCGGTTTTTTCGCAGTGAATGACGCGGAAGCGGGGAAACGTTTCTACTGGCTGGTTGAAGAAGTTTATGTCGTCGGTGCGTACCCGCTTTAGGCCGGTACGAACAGATAGTTGAGGGAATGCTCCATGCATGCCGGTCTTATTTTTGTTCGGCAGCGTTGGCGGCCACCCACCACGGAGCCCAACGAGGGGACGCTACAAGTTTACAGATGCTGAAAACTGCAGACGCCAGCCGTACAACGCCACTATAACCCAATGCGCCTAGACCAAGGTAGGCTATTTGCACAGGGTTAACCCTTGCCGCCAGGAAAATTGGAAGTAAACAGAAGAGAGAAGTAGACAGGAAAGCTAAAAAAGTAAGAAAGACGAAGATGTAGGGAGAGGGAGATAGGAAAAGGCGACTGCCGATTTCCCCTGGGTGGGTCAGCCCAGGGGTGCCGTCTACGTGAAGCCGGGGCCAAAGAGGTGTGTTGCCTCTGCTGGGGGGCCTTAAAGGTCCAATCACCCAGCGTCAGCTCAACCCCCAGGATCCCCTTTTCCCCCGGGCACGGCAAAGCCACGCACGGCTAGGCGTGGGAGGGAGTAGAAACTCCCCCGTTAGCTCGGGTCCGTGGTGTCGCTACACACCAAACGCCTACTTGCGCAGGCGCCCCTGCGGGGAGTTTTGACGTCGGAGCTGGGAAAAGTACCAATTTGAAGAATAAGAGAGAACATGCGGAGAAATGGGTGCGTGCTAGTTGGTGGCTCGCATGGCCTCGGTTTTCATAAGTGGCAAGTGTTTGTGTAAGTGAGCCAGTTGTCGTATTTTGTGTCTTCATTCTGGCATGCATGCGCAATAGAGTTGAGCATTTTGAAGGTAATCAGAATATGGGCTGTAGTCGTAGCAGAATTATATACACGATAGGGAAGTATTTCAAGCACGAAAATACTTATAACCACAATTGCATGGGCTAGCTGTGGTATTTACGAGTGTTCTTTCCCAGTAGCATGGCGTAGGTTTTCATTTATCGATCATTCAGTGGAAGTCGTAGCCATGTGTACAGGGGAATGGTCATTGCCCCCTTCCCTCCTCAGTTGCTACACCCTGTCCCTGTGTTCCCCTCTAGGTGAAACTGCCTGTACCAATGACTACTAGTATGCATTGTTTCCGGCAAGAAGGGGTTTGTTTGGAGCAGAGATGCAGTACTATTTTGTATCACTCATTGCAGGTGTGCAACGCGCGGCTGCGCATCCTTGCTGTAGACCCATGATTCCCAGGTTCGTGCCACGACTCCTGGGTTTGGGAACACAACCCTTTGCCTGCACGCCTAGCTGCTCAGCTGCAGCCTGGCAAATATCTGCTTGGTAAGTATTAATGTGAACAAACTGGGGTAGAGCACTGAGCTGCCATTTTTCTATTGTAGGAGACACAGGGTATCCCCTCGAGCCATTGCTCCTCCTTCCAGTCCCTGGCAGTCACCTCGGCAACTCTTCCAAAGGCCGATTCAACAAGGAGCACGCATCCATGCGCAATGTTGTGGAAAGATGTATCGGAGTGTTGAAGAGCATGTTCCGCTGCTTGCAGCACTTTCGAACGATGCTCTACAACCCCGATCGAGCAGGGCGAATCATTTATGCTTGCGCTGCCCTCCACAACATTGCGTTGGACGCGGGGGACTGGACCTTGGATGAGTATGTTGGAGACATGCCACCAGCTGAGGGTGACGATGGGGAGCCAGGGGAGAGCCATGTGCTCACACCGCACAACGTGCTGCTCACAAGACAGCAGCAGCGCAGTGCTGTCGTGGGCCTTTTTTAAAGTGCACAGGAACGCGGTAAGCTGTCATATCGCACACATAATTTATTCATACTAATTCCAGTGCACCCAGGCAAGACAAGGCCGTGTTTGCCACAACACAAAGTACTTACTCGTGCTTCAACATGATGCATGGTGGCAATGGGAAAATGCTGCATTTTCTTTAAATGTCACACGAAATAGGCAACGGACACACCCTTTTCTATATCAGTGATCACAGTCACAACAGACTACATTGGAGCAAGCGCATATGAGGGGCACCCTGTGGTGACTGTTGCCATCAAAAGATTGTGGGAACAATGCAGCAACGTCACACAACTTCTTTCACGAAAACGCATAAAAATTGCAGTTACATTAGAAACATGTTGCAAGAACGCATGATACATATGTCCATCTCTTCTCATAGTCATTGACTGCAAGCATTCAATCGTACACGCTAGGCTTGGGGAGCACAATGCCGTGCCGGCTTTTTGTTCATTGTCCTCAACATTGTATAAATATTTAAATAATATTTCATTTGATTTGAATTCTCGACTGCAGTTATACTGCAATGCTACAAAATACGTAAATCAAAGCAGCAAATAACATGTGAGTTGTTTTGATGACATACGGCATGAATATTTGGCTCAGCAATCTCGCTGCTCCCAAAGCATACCACAATCAAAATTAATTCCTGCAATGAGTAATTTACAATGAAAACTAGATGAAAACAGTCGCTGGCATGCTGCTGTGATGATGACCATTTTCATTAGTGAAACTGTGCGACATACCCACTTGCTAGTTTAGTGATCTCAAAAAAGACTTGGTTGTAGTTGTACCTTAGCCTCATTGCGCAGAAATGACAATATCAAAGTGTAAGCAATTTTCGGCAGGTAAACATGCTTCATAAAGAATGCAGCGAGCTGCGAAACAGTATGAGGCTAAAAGATATCACAGTCCAACACTATGCGGTAATGCTGCATAAAAAGCGCAGTGAGCTAGAAAACAGTGAGGCAACACAAATATCACTGTGCTAAAAACACTAAAAAAAAATGTCAACTATACGCTCTTGGTCTTCGTGTAGATGACTAGACACCTTTAAGATGGTGTGGGGAGGGGGGAGAGGCTGCCTCACGAGTAGGTCGAACATAAATTGAGAAACGCATATATCGAACATCAAAAGAGATGAAAGACAGGTGAAGAAAAAATGCTGTGCTCCTTGTACAAAGTAAATGCTAACTTAAAGCTAGTAATATGTATTAAATGAAAAAAAAAAAAAAAAACGTGTGAAATAGAACATTGACTGCAACACGTAAACATATAAAAACTAACAAACCAATAGTGCATGATAAACATTTAAAACATTGAAAACATGATGAAAAACTTAAAATAACTATGTAGCTCTTTCCCGCAGAGGGCCCTGAGCCATGGCCCGGTGATGAAAAACTTAAAATAACTATGTAGCTCTTTCTCGCAGAGGGCCCTGAGCCATGGCCCGGTGATGAAAAACTTAAAATAACTATGTAGCTCTTTCCCGCAGAGGGCCCTCAGCCATGGCCCGGTCCAAGGATTGAACCGCCTGCAGGATGCTCTCCTGCAACGCTGCCGCCCGCTCCTGTGCTGCTGCCGCCCGCTCCTGTGCTGCTGCCGCCCGCTCCTGTGCTGCGGCCGCCCGCTCCTGTGCTGCGGCCGCCCGCTCCTGTGCTGCGGCCGCCCGCTCCTGTGCTGCGGCCTTCGTTCCTTTGCTGCGGCCGCCCGCTTCCGTGCTACGGCCGTCCGCTACTGTGCTGCTGCCATATGCCGCGCTAGAGAAGTGATGTGGATGGCTGAGCTTTTGATCCCCCGCACCACCTGCAATGAATCATCATGGTGGAAATGTTTGCATGAGCTGCTGAAGAACTCTCGACCATCTCGTGGCTCGAAACTGCTGCTGCGGAGAATTGCAACGTGCACAACAATTTCCCCTCAGTTGAAAATTCATTGGCCTGGTGGCATCCTTTGAAAGTGTGAAGCTTCGTGTACAAGCTATGCCCTCTTCGTTTGGATCAACAATGATTGCTGGAACTACTCTTTATTCATCTCCTCAAATGCATCTCTTACCATCAAACAGCCCTTTTCAGGGCTAACCAATCTTTTGCCCGGCAGTTTATAATTGCAGATGTGAGATACCATGCCCTCAATACAAAGCATGTTTCTTATTTACAGCCCAAGTTGGTTTCAGTCATCATAAAAGAGCATCAAAAATGTTCACACCCTTTACGTAAAATTTAAATAAATGGTCTACTCACCTCAAGCAACTGCTCATTCAGCTCGAGGCTCTGGTCGCACTGCGAAGACACCCGCAACAAGGTGTCGGTGCGCCGTGGCCTTTGTCGACGGCGAGGCCGCACAGGAGGCTGAGACACTGAAAACATGCAGCATTTTCGTCACCGCATGCTGTAGTAGGCTTTAAGTCTATGGCCATGTTGTGGATAATTGGGCAATTCGAATAACATACAAGAGGTTATTTTCTCAAAACACTTTGATGATCAATAATTTACCCGGTGCAGCGGGCACGGTCTCAGGGTAACTTGGGGGGCCATCTGTGGAGTAAAGAATAAAAGTTCACGAACTGGGCGCACATACGTTCTATAATCAATAAAACACTAAGTTCTCAGATGCTTACGTGTGGCTGTGTCACTGTCACCTGCTGCAGCCGCTTCAGTGGCTTCCACCTCGACCTCCATTGCAGGAGCGGGAACATCCGCCTGCTGGAAAGTGTCGTGGGCATAATCTTTCAGAAAAAGGGTATTCGTTACTCTGGCTATTTTACAACCTTACGTACTAAACATCTGCGGAAATGTTCTGCAGCTATTCAGTGGTCATTGATATCACGTATTACCATTTTAGTGCATGCACTTGCCCGCAGGCATTTCGTGTCTGTTATGATAAATAAATACGCCTTTTACTGCAAGGGCTGCAAAGTGAGACTTTAGTTGATAAACCTACCTGCTTTTGAATTCTTTTTCCTGCACTATCTTACTGTTCAACAAGGTTCCCCTAAAGGCACCCCTTACAAAATGGGCAAACTCTGTCATGGCACCGCTCAAGAACCCGTGATACTGCGGCGGCAGAGTGCTTACCTGTTGATATTCGAGGGAACCGAAGACGCCACCGAAGCGTGCCAACCCGGTGAGTTGCAACACGCGACCACGGAAGCCTGGCAGACGACCCCCTCCAGTGCCCCTGGAAATATACACCAATGTCAAAGAACAAATCGCCCGCACATTCAACGGTCACTCACGTTTGTGCCTCTTTGATGGCGGCGGCGTCACGGCGGGCCTCGTGCACCTGCCTGCGCCACCAAGCCTGCCAGTCATCCACGCGTTTCTGCGCAGGGCCTTCAAGGTTCAGCGCGTCACTGAGCTCTTGCCACAGCCGCCGCCGGTCGGTGACCGTGACGCCATGCTGCAGCTCAATGGCTTTCGCTGAGAGCTGTGGATGTTCGGTCATGAAGGCGAGCACCAGCGCGCGCTGACCCTCGGAAACGCGGATGAGCCGCTGCTGCTGGTGGCTAGCGGTGCCGTTGCCCTCCGCCATGACTGCGCTCGACCGAGCCAACGACTTCGAAAGTTGCGCCGTTTAGTAGTGGAGTTTTGAAAACAGTAACTGCTTGAAACAAAGTTGTACTTAGCGCCACCACTAACCGTCCCGCTAAATTTAGCGTTGTTTAGATAAATAACAGAAAAAATACGTTTGGATTGTATTGTATTCCTTATTAAACAATTGAATACTTGTGCCAACACATTTTGATAATGATCAATAGTAGTTAAACATTTTTCAACACGTCACAAACACTTTTTACTTTGCTATACGGTCCCCCAGTTGACAACAAAATGATGACGCAGGCTTTTATTTCCCTTATTGACTGTTTGCTTCTTCTCGTTCTCGCGACCGCTGCGGACCGCCCACTTTTTGACGTCACCGACAGACCGCCTCCGTCCGGATTTGGAATTTGTATATAATTGCACCACAGGCCAACAAACTGCTATCTCTTCTACGAGATCGAGACGTGGAGTTTTACAGAGAGTGAGTTCAACTCTGATTACAACGTTCGCTTAGGTGCCCTTGGGTGCATAGGTGTTTTGTAGCGCTTCAGGCAGTGCCATTTGTATCTCCATAGATACATCAGGATGCCTCCACGTACTTTCGACACGCTGTTGCACCTTGTGAAACGTCATATTGAAAAAAAAGACACCAACTTCCGGAAGGCAATCAGTCCCGAGCACCGACTTGCACAAACTTTGAGGTAAGGTCGCCTTATGAATCGTCCAGAGCATTCATTTGCTTAGGGTGGCTGTGAAATGTGAAGTAAGGAGCAAGCATTTCACACTTTTCGCGCGGTTAGATGTGGCTAGCTTGGCAAACCCCATGTTTACTATAGATTTTTTATTACGTAGTGTCAAAGAGTCATTGTTTATGTACGTGCATGCACTTCATGTCATTCGGTTTGTCTCGCTAATTAACATTAAGAACTGGTCGTAACTGCAAAAAGCCACCCGATGAAACGACATAAAAGGGGATGTTGTGAGTGACGTTTATTTCTTTTAAATATGGACATTTTCTCATTACTTAAATCCTGCACCACCATGAAAACGTGCGCTCTGCTTGCTTCTACCTTTATTTCTTCTCAGATTCTTGGCTGCAGGGGAAACACTTCGTTGCTCATCTTTCAACTTTTTAAATGGTCATTCGACAGCGTGCTATATTGTGTCGACAGTGTGCCAGGTGCTCTGGGATGTACTTGGTCCTATATACGTTGCCTGTCCATCAAGTGCAGGCGAGTGGCTACAGGTAAAATTTAAGTTAAATATGCATTGCAACAGAATCGAAAGTTGGGCTAGTTGGATATGCATGGTATAACTATCATTTAAAGCGCACAAAAAAAACAGACATAAAGAGAGGACAAGCGCTTGAATGTGCCAAGATGCCACTCTTGCCTTGCAAATGCATACGGCAATCATTGAAGCCAGCGTGGCCGGGTCCGATACATTGAGGTGAGGAAAAGAATTAGTGCCCTGGGTACTAGAAATGAATTGCAACAGAATCGAAAGTTGGGCTAGTTGGATATGCATGGTATAACTATCATTTAAAGCGCACGAAAAAAACAGACATAAAGAGAGGACAAGCGCTTGAATGTGCCAAGATGCCACTCTTGCCTTGCAAATGCATACGGCAATCATTGAAGCCAGCGTGGCCGGGTCCGATACATTGAGGTGAGGAAAAGAATTAGTGCCCTGGGTACTAGAAATGAATTGCAACAGAATCGAAAGTTGGGCTAGTTGGATATGCATGGTATAACTATCATTTAGAGCGCACGAAAAAAACAGACATAAAGAGAGGACAAGAGCTTGAATGTGCCAAGATGCCACTCTTGCCTTGCAAATGCATACGGCAATCATTGAAGCCAGCGTGGCCGGGTCCGATACATTGAGGTGAGGAAAAGAATTAGTGCCCTGGGTACTAGAAAAATGCATGTTGCATACGTTGCACCTGGAACATTTGGCTTGCCTGTTCAACGTCTACCTTAATTTTTGCTGTACAAACATGACTTGTGTGTTATTCCCACAAAAGCCGTTATCGATATTTTCATTCCATCAGATTGCAAAAGAGTTTGAGGAACGTTGGAACATGCCCTACTGTGTGGGTGCAATTGATGGAAAACACATCGCCATCGAATGCGCTGCCAAATCGGGAAGTGAGGACTATAACTACAAACACTACTTCAGTAAATCGATGCTTGCTGTCAGCGACGCCTGCTACAGGTACATGACTCTTGATGCAACAGAAAGTAGAAAGTGGCAGTATTAGCATGTAAATGCTTGTAAAATTGTGAAAAAGCAGTCCTGTAATTTTTAGCCTTTAAAAAGCTGGTGTTACATTTCAGGCTTTGTAGTTGCACGGCCACTGGATCAAAAAGCTTCCAGCGGCCGTGGTAGTTGCACGGACGGTTGCCATCTATTTGTTTTGGCCTCTGCATGTAAACAATCATAAAAGACATGCATGCTAGTGCTTGATAATATAATGTTTTAACATTTTAAGGTTCATTTATGTGGAGATTGGGCACCATGGGAGCAATTCCGATGGTGGATTATTCAGCGAAAGCCAACTGCCTGATATTATCTTTTCGAAGAATGAAGGATTTACCCCTGATGCACCACTGGGGAACATTGGCCGCATTCTTTTCTACCTGGTCGGAGATGAAGCATTTCCATTGAAGACATACTTGATGCGGCCAAACCTAGAAAAGGCAAGTTGCCCCTTTGATTTCTTTTAGTACTGGAGTGCATTGCTTTATGCTATTAATCTCAGGCTGTTTAGTACACAGATTCACTGTAGTGACAAGCAGCCGAAACATGATGCCATAACTAAACGCAGTGATTGGTTTATGTTAGAGGCACTAAAGCACTTCACTACATATTGGCACTTCTCCTTGAAAGTATGTTTCTTTTCTCTGTGGAAGTATGTTTTTGATCAACTTTCATGAACATGAACAGAAACATGGCACAATGTGTTTATTGATCATGTGCCTATGTGTTCTGTGCTGCGCTTACTGTGAAGCTCTATCAGGATGATGTGTTTTTCATGTAGGTGCGGAGATAACCATTTATGCAGGTCTTCAACCGTTCCTCGCTTCAACACTTCAACACCTGAAGAGGCATCTCAAGGAGAAAAAACCAACTGCGAACCTATCACCTTTTGCGGAGGCCCACAACAAAAGGATTTTCAATTACCTGCCTAAGCGGAGCCCGTTGAGTGATAGAAAATGCATTTGGCATAATGGCTCAAAGATGGCGTATCCTGCGGCGTCCTTTTAAAGCCAGATGATAACATCCGGCGAATTATCTCCGCAAGCGTGGTCCTTCACAATTTCATGATGAAAGAGTTGGAGACATCTCGGTGTGCCTACTGCCCTCCAAGGACAGCTGATCAGGTTGACTGGCAGGGTAACATCACCGAAGGCAACTGGAGGGCTGATGACACCAGCAGTGCTGCTCTGCCATCTCTACCGAAGACTGGCTGCCACGCCACAAGGTAAAAATATTTTCATGTAGGAAGGTTCACGGCGGGCCTTAAATTGTAAGCCATGCACTAGCATTAGCCACAATAAAAGCTCATCCATATGAGCGGCGTTATTTGCAGTGCTGTTGTATAGTGTATTTCACTGTCTAGAAATTTTTCTCCCAGGTTTGCTTACGAAATGCGGGACCTCCTGGCAAAGCACTTCATCACTAACGGCAAGGTGCCTTGGCAAGAGAGCAAGACAATGGACACAAGACTCTACAGTGGTGAGTGCACCATTTATTGTTATCATGACAGTCAAGATTTTTTTTGCTATTATGTTACGCATCACTGCGGCATTTTGCACAGCTCTTATCGAGCAGCTCTTATCAAGTCATATACTACAGAAAACTGTAGTATATGACTATGAGCATCGTGCTAACTAAGAAAAGCTCTACACTGGACTCATTAAAATACTAAATCAAGCTGGACAGGGCACATTAAAATTCACCGGTCCGGACACACCAAAAACATTAGACACATGCTGGTGTTTTTTATTTTCATACTTGTAGGCTGGCTTTATAAAACCCTTGCTTGGGCCATGAAACGATAACTGACCTGTTCATGGTGCTTTACAGTGGAATCTCGATGATACGATCCCGGCTAATTTGAATTTCCGAATGATACGAATTTTTCTGTGGTCCCTGCCGAGCCCCATTACTTTGCAATACGCTAGAGTACGTTTGTTACGAATAGATTTTCTGCCCGCGTCGTTTGATACGAATGAACTCCGCCCCACTGACGGTGGCGAAATAGAACAGCGGTCAGTCGCGCGCTGGAATGCGCGATGCACCGCCGGTTTGGCATTTTGCGAACAGTGCCTGCCAGCAGCGCGTAGCGGCCTCGAACATCGGCGCGCGCAATATCGGAGACCTCAGAGACCGCTTGCGCCCTTTGATTTCGGTTTAGGTTTAGAGATGGCGCTGGCCACGGTTTCTTTCTCCCTCTCTTTTTGGGTGCGGCGGCGTGGACGCGACGTACTGCGCGGGGCAAGGCACAACGAGTTTGGAGTGGTGACGCTTTTGTTGCTGTTGTGCTTTTCCTCTTTCTCTGCGTGGCGTTGGACGGAGTGGCTGCAGTGCTGTGCTTCGGGCCGCGTTCTTTGCGTTTGCGCCATTTTGCCTAGTCGCAACAAGCTATGTCTCGCAAGCGAAAAGCACTCTCCTTTAAGGAGAAATTAGACATATTTTAAAAGGTCGATGAGGATCCTAAGAGAAAGCGGACGGAGTTGGCTAAGAAGCTAGGCCTTGTAACGACATTACTGAGCACAGTTGTTGGACAGGGAGAGACCATAATGAAAAACGTCAACGTCAACGCAAAACAAGCGAAGACCGCTCAACACGTGAAACTTGAAGAGACTCTCCTGACTTGGTTTAAAGAAGTAACCGCAGTTGGCGTAAACATCGATGGCAAAGTTTTGCGGGAGAAAGCCGACGAGTTTGCACTTGCTCTGCACATCGATGAATTTCAGGTCTCAGGTGGGTGGCTGCAGCGCTTCAAGACTAGGCACGCTCTCGTTTACAAAAGCGTCTGCGGTGAAGCGAAAAAAGCTGGAGAGGCAGTTGTCAGCAACTGGTAAGAGAAGTTGCCGTCACTCATTCCAGAGTATGAGCCTCGTGATGTTTTTAATGCTGATGAGGCAGGTCTCTTTTTTAACCTGCAACCCGAAAAGAGCCTCTATTTCAAAGGCAAAGAATGCAGAGGAGGCAAAAAAAGCAAAGAGCGTATTACTGTGCTCTTGTGCTGCAACGCCGACGGATCGGAAAAGCTTAAGCTGACCGTAGTTGGAAAGTTCCAAAAGCCCCGGTGCTTCAAGCGCAAGAATCATTTGCCGTGCGTCTATCGCGCAAACAAAAAGGCCTGGATGACGGCGGCGTTGTTTGAAGAGTTTCTGTCACTCCTTGACAGGAGGATGGCTTATAAGAATCGGAAGATTCTTCTTTTTCTTGACCAGTGCGCCGCCCACCCGAGACAAGTAACGCTTCAGAACGTCAAACTCTTCTTTTTACCCGCAAACGCGACGACGCACCTGCAACCCCTCGACGCTGGGATTGTTAGGAATGTGAAGCACCATTTTAAGAGCCTTCTTGTGCGTCGCCTACTCGCAAAAATTGACCGAAAGGACGAAGATGACCCGAGAATAAGCCTCTTGGACGCCATCCATTTTATAGCTGTGGCATGGAATCGGGTAACTCCGACTACCATAGCGAACTGTTTCGGCAAATGCGGCTTCTTCGGGAGTCCAGAAGAGGTGCCCCCAGAGCCGGAAGATCCTACAATTGAGGACTGGGAACAGCGCAACGTCGAGTGCACATCTGATGATTTTTGCACAGCAGATGACAATCTCGCTACCTGTGGTGCGCGCACGGTCGAAGATATTGTTGAGGAGGCCACGTGCGAGGCCGCCGATTCTAGCGATGATGGCGACGACATAGACGTGGGCGACGACGAAGGACGAGCATCGGCGGCTGAAACACTGCACGCGCTCGACGTTCTGAGGCGCGCTGTGGCCGCGGATGAAGTCAGCGACGACACGTGCACGCGTTTTTATGCTTTCGAACAAAGTCTGCTAGGTGACCTGGCGAAGAAAAAGAGGCAGAAGGACATCAGAGACTTTTTCATCAAGAAATAAATGCTTTTTACGTACTTGTGCCTGGATGAATTCACGTCTGACTCTTTGTTAATTTAGCTAGTTTTATTTGTTTCGATGATACGAATTTTGGCTAATACGAATATTTTTGTGACCCCGTGAGATTCGTATCATCGAGATTCTACTGTATATGACTTGCTTTGTGAGGCAAAATGGGAAGCCTTATAGTTGCAGTCTTGTTTGCAATGCCGGATACTCTGCACTATGCGCCAATATTTTGGACTCTGCAAACGAAGCTCACAATGACAACTGAGACTGTGATAGAAAAAGTTGCTGGATGACAAAATGAAATCACAGTTGCATGTGTAGCCCTGCAAGAAAGTGACATGCCTACTGACGTATATCTCTACACATTAATCGAAGCTGAGTCACGCTTGGTGGCACGCAAATAAAAAACAATGAAGACATCGTAGAGAGCGTTCATGAGGATCACGGTGTAAGAATAGTTTAGGTGGTGACACTCCGCCGTCCCCTTGGCAACCGGCGCGTGACCACATCGTGTTCAAAGCGAGCGGCGGTGCCGATTTCGCAATCGTTGAGGGTGCTGCGGTATGGGGTCCCAGTCGAACCAGTCGAACGGCGAGCGCGGCTTGGCTCACTGCTGCAGTTGGTGCTATGTTGTGCTTTCGTGTTGTGGCCGCGTTTAGAAGCGTGATAATTTAAACTGAGCTGTGTGCGCTGAACCTTCTCGGCAATGGGGAAGAAGTCTTTTGTTTCCAACTGTATTTCTGGTTACAGAACGTGCGCAGAAAGAGTGCCGCTTTTTAAAGCTCCGTCAGAGCATGCTCATTTGGAAACGTGGCGCCGCGCCATTCCGAGATCGGATTGGCCGTTGCAGTCTAGTGACCACGTTTGCGCGAAGCATTTTCCGGACGAAATGGTGTGTACAAAGTACTACGCAGACTCAAACGGCAGGGTTCTCCTGGATGCCCCGAAAAGGCCGACGTTGTTCGCGAATGCTGTAGCATGCATTTTCCCGGGTTGTCCAAAGTACCTCACCCGGGAACAAAAGTGTAGGAAGTCTCCTCGGAAGCGACAGCCCACCACAAGTGACCGGCCCGTCGCAAGAAAAGTCGTGTTGCCTGCGAAAACAGCAGGTGCAGAAACTGAGGAGCAAACAGCCAATGTGAGGCCACTCAAGAAACTTCGTGTCAGCAGCTGCGATTCTGCACCATGCCAGGCGTATTCCAGTGGAGAAGACGCACCCCTTGCAGAAAAGAACCAGGACAGTGACAGCTCCCCATCGTGCTCTTCGTATCCAGGGAAGCCTAGCTTGGATGACGCATAAGTATTCAGTGTTTATTCAGTAAAGTGTACGTTTATCCATGACCATTGTTCAAATACTTACCATGTTATGCGGGCGTTCATATTCACCAACGCTGTTCATTTACTTCTCTATTTTAGTGGGTCTAGAAATTAAATGCCATTTGAAATGTCTAAAAGTTTGCCGCTTGTACTTTCCAGTAGAATATGCTATCCTGTTACCATTCTACACTAAAAAACGACACTTCAATTAGTATCAACTTCGTAAATCGTACATCTTAGCTCACTTACACGTAGCTGCATCTATTCACCGAGCTTATCTGTTTGGTTACGTTAATTAAACATGTTTGTCTGTTTTTTTTTCTCGTTTCTTTTCAAATTCAGGAATCGTGATCTATGGCCTACTGCCAAGGGAACAGAAAGCATGAAGGAATGCCGGACTGTACGGAAGATGCAACGAAGCGTCTCTCGATTTCGCGGCTGTCAACCTCAGTTGCCAGTGTTAAACTTCCAGGACCCACCTGGGCAGCCCATTGTGTTGGTTTTGGGGTACAAGCTGTTGTCTTCGCAGAAGCGGCTTTGCCAAAGAACTGCGACCAACCTCCTTTTCAGCACAAAACACTTGAGGTAACGGCTACAACGACTGGCACTATGTTAGTGCGCACTTTCATTTATGGCCGTCATGTGAACATCAGCGGTATTGGCAGTGATGTCCCTCTGAACTGCTTGAGTGATGTTGAGAGTGTTGTGCAAAAGTTTCATGAAACGCGTGTGTGTGCTGGTGGCCCTAGCAATGATGGCTACTACGATATCCACCCTGAAAGTGCATGCGTTGATCCGTGTGGAGTGTGGCGGCACAAAAGGTGTTTGATGTTTTGCGATTCAGGAAGCTGCCAGGCCTGCAGGAGGCTAAACGACACTCTCCGAATCCACAGTTCTCGAAAAAAGAAGCAAACTACAAGAAAAAACATTCGGCTCCTAGCCAGCCTTTCGAAGAAAGCACGTGTGGACCTAATGCGAAAAGCGAGGATCGCTTGCTACAGATCAAAAGTTCGCATTCTTAAAAGCAAAAAAAGATCAAAATGGAGTTAGCTGCCTGCAAATCCAAGCTGGAAAATATCAGCACTGACACCCTCGAACGCATATCTCATGAAGCAAACCTGACGGAAGGCCCGCAGCTAGTCCTAAAGGAATGTGTGACTGCTAGCAAAACGGAGTCCAAAAAAGGCCGAAGATACTCGGATAATTGGGTCCTGCTTTGCTTTTTGCTCCACATCAGGTCACCTGCTGGCTACAGGTTTCTGATGGAGAATGAAGGCCTTGCGTTGCCATCAGTACGAACCATTCAACGCTATGTTTCAATGGTGGGCTTCAAATCTTGGTTCGACCAGAAGTTCTTCTTTGCCTTGGAAAAAAGGATAAACAAGATGGCCGATTTCAAGCGGCATGGAATGATCATCTTTGACGAGATGCAGGTCCACAAAAGCAGAAAAGTGCATTCCAAAAGTATGACCTATGTGGGCTTGACACAAGATGCTGGGGACCATGCCGGAGAACTTGCTGATCATGCCCTAGTGTTTATGTTTTGTCCATTTGGTGATAGTTATGCTCAACCTATTGGAGTATTTGCTGCTAAAAACGCGACTAAGGGGTCAGTTCTTGCACAGTTGTTACTCCAGGCAATTGTGCTAATGGAAGACGCTGGTGCCAAGGTTCATGGATTTGTCTGTGACGGTGCTTCCACAAATAGAAGTATGTGGAACACACTCGGCATTAATGGAAAGCTTGGAAGAAGCTGCAACTCTTTCATACATCCCACTGAGCCGGAACGAAAGGTGTTTGCATTTTCTGACGTCCCGCATTTATTCAAATGCATAAGAAACCGGCTCAAGCAGAAGAGAAGTCTCAAAAAAGAAGGGAAGTGGATTAGGTGGAACGACTATGCTACAGTGTACGAAGAAGACCTTGGTCATTCTGGAGGGCTAAAAGTATGCCCAAAAATAATGAACTCCCACATCAACCCAAGCCAGTGTGAAAAAATGCGAGTTAAACTCGCGACGCAGATTTTCAGCCGCTCAATGGCAGCCGGAATACAGTTTTACAGAGGAAAAGGTGTCCACAGTCTTGCAGGGAGTGAGGCAACAGAGAAATTCACTTTATTTCTGAACAACTTATTTGACGCCTTGAACCGACGGTTCCCAGCTGAGGGAATTGGGATGCACAGCCCCGACCTAGAAATTCTGGGTGACGGCCTTCACTGGCTTAACGAGTGGGAAAAAGAAATGCAAACTGGTGCAATCACGAAAGACATGTTCCGTACAAAAAGCACAGCTGAAGGCCTGCGAGTAACATTAGCTTCAACTAGGGACCTTTGTCATGTTCTGCTTACTGCGTACAACTTCAGGTATGTCCTAACAAGCAAGTTGAACCAGGATCCAATAGAGCGTTTTTTTGGGAAGATACGGCTAGCAGGAAGTCAGAATGATCACCCTATCGATGCCGACGTTCCTGCAGCTCTATCAAACGTTGTCAATATACAGTATCCTGAAGCCCCCTAAGTATGGTAACTGCTCTGTGGTTGAAGGGGAGAAGGCTTTGTTGGCGATCTCGGATTTTAGAGCGCTAAAAAGCACAGATGAACAGTTGACTTCCACTGACTTCGTAGCCCAGGTTAAGGAAAAACTGGACAACTTGGTTTCTGCGGACGACTGTGACTGTGAAGAGGTCATACGCCAGCACGGTGGTGATGTAACGGAAGTGACGGACTGCATAGTCTACTACGTAACAGGGTTCATATGCAGGAAAATGCGAAAGATCACAACATGGGCAGCTTGTTTGTCGGCTTTCAGCGTTAAGACGAACACCTCGACTGCAGAAGCTCTCACACATGCAAAAACGAGAGGAGGCCTCACACATCCCACTGTTGGCATCTTTAACCTCTTCAAGCATGCTGAGCGGCTATTTGTCGACTATGCAGACTGGAACACTGTCTACTGGGACACGATCGATGCTGTGCTCGACACGTACAGGCTAATATTCCCATGCTCTGAGCACAAAGAAGTGATCACGCAGCTGCTGCATTACTATGTAAGCATGCGAATGAGGCAGCATTGTCAGCATGTCAACGGGGCTCTAAAGAAGCAGTCACAGGAGAAGAAGAAGCTCGCAAAGCTCTACTCGTCGTATCCATCCAGCAAGTGAGAAAAGCGAAGTACAGTGGAGGTCAGCCATGTGTGAAAAATTATTCAAGGTCAGGATGCGAGAGTAAAGCCTAAAATTGTGTTTTTAACTAAATGTTTTCAAATCTTTCAAGAGCTGAATTGAAACAGCTTTTTGCTTGATGAAAATATTTCTTGTTGCATTTTTTCCGCAATGCCTCACTGGCTATCGGTGATTTGTTTGCAAGTGCATTGAATAAAGTTGTTTTTGAGTTGTTCTTCTTATAACAAAATATTTTGTCTTTTGAATGTGCACGATGCCCTAATATGTAAGTGTGCATATATATATGGACAGGAACACATTGGTATGCGCACTCATGCAAACATACATACATACACACGCAATCCCAAAAGGTCCCTTTTTTTGTATTCCGCAGAGTCCCTGCCTGGCACGATCCTAGATGAGTTGTCCCCAGTAAGCTATTTTATTTATTTGTTATTGCTCTCCAGGCTACATGACATTGGTCAATAACATGACAGGGACAATAACAAAAGAGAATTTAGCCGTACAAGCACAGAAAATGTGACAAGGTTGGTGAAGGTAACAACTCGACCATCTTAAACTCGGGGCACAGATAAAACAGGAATAACAAAACTGGCCCCCACTTGCATTCTGTAAAGTTTTACGTGAAGTTGAATAATACCATATATATAAGGCAAGCAACAAGCGCTATAAAGTATATTTAGGCGAAAGATTTTTTAGTGGGACCGATGGCGTCCTGTCAAAAAACAGTGCGATTTCTCATAGACTGGCTGCTGGACCGGAAAACTTATACAAGATCTCTGGACATACGGGCGCGTGCGCGAAACCGGGATTCTATTGAGCTTCATCGATTTACGAAGTCTCGAGCCAGTCCCGAGCCGGCGCGCGGACGCCTCGCTGACAGGAAACGACGTGATCGGCGTCATTTGTCACGTGATGCGAGTAGTCCCGGGCTGCAGGGTCAGGGCTTCCGGTGACTAGGTGCTCGCCGTATCGCCAGCGACACCGCCGATTGCTGCGAAAATGGCTGCCGTGAAAGCAAATTTTTCCGCGCTAGCTAAGCTTGTCGCAGACGTGCTGGTTTCAGATGACGATGACGGCGAAATGTCGGATCTGCAGTCGGAGGAAGAACTGGAGGAGACTTCAGATCTCACCGTTGCTGCCGTGCTTGTCGCACAAATTATCAGGGAAGACCGACACCGGGTGCGGCTGTATGTAGAGAGTGTGGTGGACAGCTACAGTGACGAAGAGTTCCGAAGGCTGTTCCGTTTACAGAGGTGCACCACTGAGGTGATCACGGGCGACTTCGAGTCTTCGTCATACTATCCTCGTGGTGGGCGCGGAAGACAGAAAATAACAGCATTGAAGACTATGCTGATTGCCCTGACGTACCTGGCCACGCAGTGATCCATGAATGCCATAGCCGACAAGTTTGGTGTCAGCGAGTCGACGGTGCCCGTTGCGATACGCCGCGTTTTGGACTTTCTGCTGTCCATAAGCGAAAGAGAAATACGCTGGCCTAACGACGAGGAGGCTGCACGAAATAAGCGTGCGTTTCGCGCGCTTGGTCGTTGTGACGGCGTCGAGGCTAGCCTGCCAGACGTCATCGGTGCCATTGATGGATGCCATGTTCGCATCACAAGACCCACAGTGTGCGAGGAGGACTACTACAACAGGAAGAAGTTCCACTCCATCATCCTCCCGGATGTTTGTGATGCCGACATGGTGTTCACTGATGTATTCGTTGGCTTTCCAGGCAGAGCACACGACGCCAGGGTGTTGGAGGAGAGTTTTCTATTCGAAGAGGCAGCTTCGAGATACGACGGTGAACGAATGAGTAATATTCAATCGAATAAGATTGCAATTTCTACAGGTTTGTTTGGCTGACAGTGGCCTTGATTGATTCTTGTTGCGCTAGGGTAGCTAAAAAACCCCTGTTCTGGAGTGTAAGCAAGAAAATAATGTTAAGAGTACATCACTTTATATGTTTGTAATAACTCATTATAATTGGCACTCCGAAGTAACATCCATGTACATTTGTAGGTGGATATCTTTTGGGGGACGCTGCGTACCCTCTGCTTCCGTGGCTGCTGCCACCTTACCGCCACGTCACAAGCAGCTGGCAGCCATGGATGAGCAAGTTTAACCATGTGCACTCCAAGCAACGCGTTGTTATTGAAATAGCATCTGGCCTGCTGCAGGGACGTTTTCGGCGATTGGACAAGATCGACTGTTAACAGCATTCCGCAGGCTGTGGAAATTGTGATGGCAGCCTGTGTGCTGCACAACCTTGCCCGCAGACATGCCGATGTTTTTGAAGATAGTGACATTGTAAACAGCGACCTTGGCATATTCTCCAGTGAGCCAGTTGATGTTGACCACAAACCTACGTTGGCAGCAAGGCTGCGGGACCGACTGGCCCAGAGTGTGCCATTGTGATTGTATACTCTGTGTTAATTTTGCTGCTTTTAGTGAACATCTTATTAACTCTGTCTATGTGAGCCATTGGAGTATGTGTCAGTTTATTATCATTACTTTACTGTGATTGGTACGCTTTGAAGAGGACGTGTTTTGTGGGGAGCAGTTCTGTCTTCAAATGTATTCTACTAGAGCAGAGTTTCTCAGCCATGAATATTTTCAGGACAGAAGAAATGATTTGCATCACTTGCATATTTTGGGGATCCCTGTGGACTGGTGCAAGTGATGAGGCACCCCTCGCCTGAGCAGCTTGTAAATAAAACTGCCCTCATTCAAGCTTTTTCTAGCTTTGTTTCCTCTTCAAATGGGATCGGGCCCGCGTCTATTCGATGTAGGAAAATTCAACAAGTATTTCACAGCAATTTTATAGAAAAAGCGATACATAAACGAGCTGCTCCGCTATGCGAAATCGCAGCCAAGTATCAAGAATTTGAAAGGGGTCCAATTATGAGACATAATATGACTAAAAAAAATTAAACTTTTTTTCTGACAATGACATTTGCAGATTTCCTGGGCTCCAAGGAACTGCATTTAACGACCACAATACTAGAACACCGATTGCTAATACATGACATTGCTGCGTAGAATTTATTGTACCGTTCTGTGTACACTCTTCGTGTCTTGGCTCACTCTTGATAGGAGTATGGTTTGCCTTAGTTATTGTAATAAGACTTCTTAGGAGTTTCTGGTCAATTTTCAACTATTTTATATCGACACTCTGAAGCAGGTGATTACGTGACTCTGTTATGGGCGCAGGGTCTAAAGACATGTGTTTACGTCTTCGAGAAAGTGTATGTTTATGGATGAGAAGGCATTTTTTTTAAGTAAATAATACCTTTCATGAGTATGGCTTCCAGCCACACCCTTTGAGTATGCAGCATTACTGTTTACTGCATAAGTGCACTGACACTGTAGAGTATATTGCATTGTATGTTTGCTGCAAGTGCCCTGAAGGCTGCCCGCATGATTGCTAAACGCACTTTACAGTGCGATATTCAACCTGGCTTACGTTGATTCAAATGCGACCTGCAGCAATGTCATGGCTATGTTAATTCCAATAAGTTAGGCAGTGTATTACGGACCACTCATGATGCTGACTATTATTCAGGTTTGAACTACTTACAGCAGCTTGGTTCAGTAGTACAAAATAAGATTACATTTTTGTTCATTTTTTTTCACATAGTCATGACATGTATTGCTGTAATAATCTACGTACATGCAACATTGATTCCATGTAAGTTGCTCTATTGAGCACTGCATTTACTTGTTTCTTTATATTGAAACGCGCTAGCGAAGATTCGACGAAGAGGAGGAAGAGACTCGACTGGCTCGCGAGCGACGCTGTGGATCCTTCGCTGAGCTACACCTCTGCGTTACCCATCTTGTAAATAAACGCGTTCCATCGTCACAATTGTGGTGGAAGGTGCTGGGTAAGCGAGCTACTACCAAGTGATACCGGAGAGGCACCGTTCCCTAACGACGGAACCGCTACACGAGCTTCGCCGCAGCCGTCGACTAGCGGGCTTGGCACCATTACCTCAAGAAATGAGCTCGGATGGAGACAACCAGCAACCAGCCGCAAGGAACGTCGCCCTACCACTACAGGGAGCCGCGAACCTTCACAGGGAAACCCGGCGATGACGTGGACGAATGGCTAAGCCACTATCAGCGGGTGAGCCGTTCGAACGGTTGGAATGCGGCTAGCCAGCTGTCTCACGTGGGGCTCTTCCTCGATTTCACGGCGCTGGTATGGTTTGAGAACCATGAAGACACATTGACAACCTGGGACCAGTTTGTGGAGGAAATTAAGAAATGCTTTGGAGACCCAGCAACGAAGAAGAAACGTGCCGAGCAGACGTTGTCGCAGAGTGCTCAAGTCACCGGTGAGACATGCAGAACCTACATTTAAGAGATTCTGAAGTTGTGCAAGTCGGTGGATGCCCACATGACGGAAGAAGACAAAGTGGGCCATATACTCAAGGGCATCGCCGATGACGTCTACAACTTCCTCATTGGCAAGGAGAGCCTGGAATGCGTGGCCGACGTGAGTAACCACTGCCGAACCTTGGAGGCTCTTAAAACTCGCCGCATCACATCGAAGTTCGGACGTCTGGCCAACGTCACAACTGTTGCCACCGTCGATGTCTGCCAGAATTCTCCACCTGCCGACCTTTCCTCCACCATTCGTCAGATTGTACGGGAGAAACTGCGTCGCCATGTCTCTGTTCCCATGCAAGCTGGAGACCCTCAGTGTGATACACTACCCCCAAGCATCAATGCTGCGAGTTTCGACTGAGTGCAGTTACTCCACCCGCAGTCCACGGCTGAGGGCTCCGCCACCACAGGCTACTTACGTCGAGCCGTCTTATGTGCCCCGCAGCAGTTATAGCTACGACAGCCAACCACCTCCGTTTGTGTCCGAGTGGCAACAGTTCCCTGAGTATCCTCTCCACACCTGCAGCCTTCAATGTGCCTCGGGAACGCCCCGTGTGCTACCAGTGCGGTGTTCGCGGACATATCGCCCAGTTTTGCCCATCGCGACGTCGCCCACGCGCGACGTTTTCTGACCGACCAGCGATGCTTACACGGCGAAGCCAACAGCCCGATTACGCCTACTGGCCTTCGGATTCAACCGCCCAGAAGCACGGGCACCGGCCGAACATCCGCAGTGACTCGCCTGCCTCTGTGAGGAGCTTGACGCCACCTACTACACGCCAGCGACGGTCCCCATCTCCCCGTCCCCGGCCGCGGCTTTCCTCTTCGCCACCGGGAAACTAGCCGGCGCGGCCGATGGAGGCGAGGTCGCTGGACGTACCGCTTTGCACACAAGTATGCCTCCATTAGTTCACATGCTTCACAACAATTAGTTCACATGCTTCACAACAAGGTTCATGTATTCATTGACGATGTTCCCCTGATGGCTCTGGTAGACACCGGTGCAACAGCTTCTGTAATGAGTTTAGTTTTCAAGGAGAGACTTGGCCGCAAGGTTATGTTTATTGGGACAAATCTTCTACTTTTCGAGCAGTCAGCAGCATGGCTTTGTGTCCAGTAGGTGTGTGCACTGAGTCTGTTCGTGTTGCTGATAAAGCGTTCAAGGCAGAATTCGCAGTGCTCGCTCATTCCACGCATGACGTTATCCTTGGAATTGACTTCTTGCAAGAGTGTCGTGCGACTGTCGACTGCGGGGCAGGCAAGGTTCTGTTGTCCGCCTTCGCCCAGCAGCCTCAGCGTAGCGGAGACGACAACCTCGTTGTAGTTAAAGACACTATTCTACCGGCATGGTCTACTGCCAGCGTGCCCGTTGCTGCTTCGAATGCCGACTCGAGTTTCAGTTCTCCTGATATTGTGATTGAGCCATTGCCTTTGCCTTGCACGAAGAAAAACATCTTTCTGCCGCGCTGCGTTGTGTCTCTCACCCAGAGAAAAACTAAACTATGGGTAGTTAACTGCTCATCCGAGTCTGTTGTACTACCAGAGGGAATGCGCCTTGCCATGTTTGAAGGGCAGTGCAGTATCTGCATAGGAGCTCTCAGCAATGCGGCAAATTCGGACTATGCTGATGTACGCAACTACGCAATGCCGACGACGCAATGCCGACGAACTACGCAATGCCGACGACGCAAGCGGCCACTGCAGCAGCTGCAGTGCTTCGTCAGAGCGCTGATGAAAGTCCTGCACGTCGCGACGACCCTGAGAAAGTGCTGTGGTGCGGACGAAAGACAATGTTACTTATTGATAAATACAAAGAGAATTTCAGCAACATTGCCAAACAGGCGCTTGAACTCGTAGCCAAAATAGCGGACCACAACTTCCTCGTAGTACCTAAGTGTGCGGTTGCAATCTCTGCGCTCCAGTTGAGCACCATTTTGACATAACAATGCGTCCAGTTCCTTATCTTTGCAGTCGGATTAAGCTATTTCCATAGCAATGTGGAATTCCTCTATGCTGACAAATCAGGAGCTGCAAATCTGAACGCACAAAACACACGACTTACGTAGCCAACCAGCAGACAACCGCTGTTCTCTGCTTGCACCTCAACATTCGATTGACACTAAGCAGTGGCGCTGCTGATGCGTTGCATTTGCACCCCGAAGTAGGTGCCGAGACACCTAGCTACACCTGCTGCACAATGTGTCGGCACCGGCTGCACCTCCTTGTATGCAGTGCTGTGCACTTTTTTTTAATCGTATAGACCTTTCGTTTGCTGGAATTTTTTTCGTGAGTGTGTTTTTTGTTGTACAGTAGTTTTTTCTCTCCATGGCGCAGGCAGACGGAAATCATCTCGGTTCCGGGACGATCTTGCCCATCGGCGACAAGGAGAATTTATTTCTTTAGCCGGCGAAACAGCTGCTCGCACAGCAGTTGAACACATTTTAGCGTGTCGCTGAGTAATGCAACACAATCATAGACTGCGAAAGTAGTCTGGCCGTAGAGCCACAGAGGGTGAAAATGAGCCACAGCTCCGACCGCAGGTAGAGGTTTCCCAAGTATACCGGCTACGACGACCCAAAATCAGTGGGTGACATTTAGACGAAGTAGACAGCTATGTTAGAGCTACTGCGCCTCGTAAGCGTATGTGATGGCTCGAATCCTGCCGTTGGTTTTACGAGATCCCGCAGGATGATGGCGGAGGCTACAATCACCTTTCACCACAAGGAGAGATTTTGAAAAGCGCTTACGAGAGGAATTTCTGCCCCCTGGGTACGAGCAGCGAGTCCAGCGTGAGCTTGAACTGAGAAACCAGCATCCGGACAAAAGTTTGCTTGAGTATATCCGGACGATGCAGGGATCGCATCGCCGAGCAGCACCGACTGCCTTGGAAAGGGACAAAGTCGCTCGATAATTCGACAGAGTCATCCCAGATTCAGGCCATTTTTTCTTTTTACGGGCACACATTCGAAACCCTTGAGCATCTCGCATGGGAAACCCGCAGAGTACCAGACGCCCTGTTTGCCGAG